CACCCATCATCACACCACAGTAAGTCTACATCACTGTTGACCCCCGACCAGTGCCACAGGGCCAACATCCTTTGTGTCCCTCTGTGACCCGTGACTGGGCCTCTCCAAGCACTGGACAGGCGTGACTCGATCTGTGTGCCCACATTCAGGATGTTTCCCGAAGTCTTAGGCAGATGTAGGTGCTAAAGACACTGCTGCAGGTCCACTGCTGGGTGCCTGCATGGAGTCTTCGCTCTTTTGTGATGAGGGCAGACTGAGAGGATGCCACAGAGACCAGGCCCCGCAGACTGGAGTGACAGACTTTGAGGAGTGCCCCTCTGAAGTGGCCACGCTGTTGAGACATCTCTCTTTGGCCAGGTTGGACAGAGCTTGGCGTTTCTTTTTTTCCTCAGTAAAGGGCTGAGAGAGACATCTTAGGTTGAGGTAAGGGGAAGGGCAGGTGGCCATTTCTGGTGCAGTGCTGCCATCAACAGGACAAGGGATCTGCCAAATACATGAACCCTGTACTGTCCCTTCCTGGGGAGGACTGATAAGGGATTGAAGGGGCAAGGGACAGTGGCCCCTGGAAAGTGGAGAGCTCTGCCAGAGGAGGTGCAAGAAGCAGGCCCCAGGGCTGGGTGGGGTTGTGGAAGCTCCATGAACGCCACCAGGACAAGGGGCACAGCCAGGGTGCCTGCCCTGTGGGGTACAGGAAGTGGAGTCTCCATGGACCCTGGTGGCCACCATGTCTGGGTGGCACTAGAGGAAGCTGCTCTGAAGGAACCTAGTGCGGGGCTGAGGACATTGACCCGCTGGCCCTTTCCCCTGAGAGCCAGAGCAGGATGGGCCTGGGTGGGCCCAGAGCCCCAGAAGCCTCGCTCTGGGCTGCGGCCCAGGCAGAGACCACACTGGACAACTGGAGTTACGCTGCCATCAGGGGCGGAGGCAGGCCTAGTGACCTTCTGTCCAGTGCCGATGACATGTGGATCCTGGCTACACAGTGCCGAAGGAACCCGAGGCCCAAGGATAGCTCCCAGTCAGCCTCCAAAGGGAACAGTACTCGCCGGACACGGGAGGCACCGCAGCAAGGCGCCCTTGTCCTGAGCCGAAGAATCTCATTGGCAGGTGCAATGTCATCTTCCAGGGTCTCCAGGATTCTGGCCCTGGCCAGTCTTGTCCCCAGGTCTCCCAGAACCGCATCCCAGAGAGCAGAGAAGAGCCCAGCCAAGTGGATCCCCGGGCCACGTCTTTGCAGGCTTCAGCTTTCTCCTCCAAAGGCCCTGAGCCTCAGTTCAGTGAAGAGAGGAGGACAGGCCCTACCTTCCATTCAGCCCTGGCTCTCCAGGTCTCAACCCTGTGCTTGCACCCGCAGCCCAAGCAGGACATCAAGAAGAAGAGGTCTGAAGAAGCTGCCTGGAGCTCACCTCTCTCTGGACCGAGAGAAACGCCTCCTGCTTCCCTCTCTTTCAAGACCACCACTCTTCCAGCTTGTCTGCCAAGGCCAGGAGCCTGGTGCATCCCGCCGGGCACAGGGTTCTGCCTTCTAGTCCCCAGCTGACCCCAAATGCCACTTCTGGAGCAAGCTCTGGGGCAGCTCATGCCTGCCCTTTACTTGGCTCTAACCTGCCTGAGGGGTGGGGGTTGGGGTGGTTTTGTGGTGAGGGACAGGGCTGAGGGGGGATGACTTCCAACTGGAAAGAAGTTTCCATGCGGGAACACTACCTCTTCCAAACATACCCCCTCACTTTCACCCCTCCTCGAAGGGTGCTGAATGCCACCCCATGCCCCTTCTTTCACACCACTGAGTTGCCCAAAATGTCGTCATGTGAGGTTATGTGGGCAAAGCCTCCCTTAGGACCAGGCCCTGACCAGCCTATGGGGTCTGATGGCTCAGCTGGCACAGGTGGTCTCCTTGTGCCCCTGTGCCCAGGACCAATGTCTGCACATGCAGAACACGGAGCCCCTCATGAAAAATCACAGCAGTCCTCCCCAAGAGGAGGACCTGGGTCCTCCATGGTGGGGCAGTGGGAGCGAGAAATAGGGGTTCACCTACCAGTGCAGTTCTGTTCCTGAAATAGAACACCAGGGAAAACAGATCTGGATTGCCTTGCTGTCTGTGGGCGTTTTCGCCCAATTCAGCTTCAGCACACTGCTCTGGGGCCAGTTTCATCCCACCATGAGTAGTGTCCGGATACCCTCTGTCATAAGGCAGAGGAAGGGCTTCACGGGATCCTGTGGGGCATGGGACCCAGACTCTTTGGCACGAGCAAATGTATACAAAAACTTAACTCCAACCCGGACATAAAGTGCACATGCATTTGTCTCAGTCTGGGACCAAGCCTTCGTCAGGCAAATTTCCGCATCATGTCTGCTAGATGTTTCTCCCTGACAGGGTGGCCACCTCTTCCCCTTTTGGCTTTGTCCATGGTAGCCAGGCACAGTGCCTCTGCCTGGGCAACAGTTCCTGGGTCACCAGTGGCCCTGAGACCCCAGAGACCGTACTGGTGGACCTCCCTCCTGCAGGATGGGCGAGGATCCCCTGGCCACAGGCCCTGGGCTAGAGCTTCAGCTCCTTGTTCCTGAATATGGTGGCTGCTGAGGTCAAGCCACCAAGGGTCTGGCAGCCATGGGCTTCTCCATGGGAGAGCCAGGTCCCAGAACACCACTGCCTGTTGCTTCCACACCTGCTCTGGAGGGGTGTCCAGCAGCCAGGTTCACCCAGAATTCTCTGAGTGCTCCAGACACACCCTTGTTCCCCTCACAGGCCTTCCCCAGCAGGATCCACAGCCAGGGCCTGGAGGCCAGGCTCAAAAATCTTCCACTTGATGGTGTTGCAGAAACCAGTACTTAAGAAACCAAGCACCACACTTGGAGAGTTGGAGAACTCAGGTTTATTATGCCAGTGGACCCAGGGGAGTTAGCATTCCAAGCTCTGAGCCCCCACAAAGGGGTTACAGAGTTCTTATACACAGACAAGCATAATTAAGTGGGTTTGTGGGTTTGCAGGGGCTGGGCGATTGCAAACAGCAGGACAAGGGTGACTGAGATAAGCTCCAGTTCCTAGTATTGTGAGTCCCCACTTTCTGAGACCTACGTGATCCAGACTTTGCAAGGAGCAAGCTGAGTTACAGAGGCAGGAATAGGAGGTTATGTAAAATTTTAACCTTTCCTCTTCAATGCCACTGTTGCTGCAGAAATGCCATCCATCCCCTGGAGAATGGCCTCTCCCTCCGCACTTTGCAGGTGAAAAAATGGCCCGTGGAGGCCCAAGAGTCTTCCAAGTGGTCCACAGGAATTTTGTGAAAAGAGGTGTCTCCTCCTTTGGGGGCTGCTCCTTGAGAGTAAGGACATAGCTAAAGGTGAAGGCGGAAAGGAACAGGCTGCACTGACTCCATCTTGAGAAGGAAACTCCCTCTTGCATTCTCGGTGAACTTTGAACTATATGCCTGGTAGCCATGGAGACTGGAGAAGGCAGTGGCACCCCACTCCAGTACTCTTGTCTGGAAAATCCCATGGATGGAGGAGCCTGGTAGGCTGCAGTCCATGGGGTTGCTAAGAGTCAGACATGACTGAGCGACTTCACTTTCACTTTTCACTTTCATGCGNACATGACTGAGCGACTTCACTTTCACTTTTCACTTTCATGTATTGGAGAAGGAAATGGCAACCCACTCCAGTGTTCTTGCCTGGAGAATCCCAGGGACGGGGGAGCCTGGTGGGCTGCCTTCTATGGGGTCGCACAGAGTCAGACACAACTGAAGGGACTTAGCAGCAGCAGCAGCAGCCATGGAGACAACATAGGTACAGCCGAACAGGCCTCCCGAACTGATAAACACCAGATTCCATGCCAAGATTTCCTGTCGCCAGAAGGAATGTAATAATCCCCTATGTAGTCAGTCACCTTTGTAATCTTTATGGCACACATTGATGTAGGCTACAATATATAACCAACTGACCCTTCTGATTATGAATCATGACTGTAACCTGATTGTATCTCCCTTTGACATTTTCCAGAGTAGGATTGAGGAATTCGGGGATGTGTGCTTGTGCACGTACACTTAGGGTATATAACGTTTTCACAAAAATTGTTCGGGGTCCCTGGCTAGAGGAAACTCTGCCTCAGACCTGCCGTTGTGATAAACTGCACTCTGCTATCCACGTTGTCCTTCTGAGTGACTTTGCTTCCCGGAGCATTTGGCTACAACAAAAGGACATGGAAAGGAAACCATCCGTCTCTGGGTCCATGTCCACAGCACCCAAGGAGATTATGAGTCCACATGGCCTGATCCCCATTTCCTGTAGACTGGAATGTGATGAATTCTGTCACTTTGTTATTATTGGTCAGGATTAGGGCCAGAATTCCCTTGATGATTTACATAATTAGTGGTTCATTGAAAACCTATGCTTCTTGGAATAAATCCAGGTTCTAGCCATGCATACAAAGGGTGTGCTCCTGTAATATGGATCCTTTTGGAATATGTGTAGAGATTGGTCCCTACAGAGACTCTTAAGTGGCTCTGTTTTGTTTTCTAACTTGTTTCTAGCTACGTGACTGAGTGCTGAACAAACCCCAAACTATCATTTGTCCCTTGTGCTAGGACATTCATCCTTCATGGGAATCAATAAATTAAAAGTGGGAGAATGTGTATCTGTGGATGCAGGGCTAACAGGTTATTTATTTCAGGAACTTCAGGGCCACTATTTCAGGTTAGCAAAAAGGCTCATTGAATTAAACCACAAGCCTCAAACCCAGCAAAGTACTCTAGGAAATGATTAAATGATCACAGTGGGTTACATCACAATGGCTTTACAGTATAAAGTCCAGGCTGTCTGTACATTTGGGCTTACTTCTCCTAAGGGTAGGTAGTGTGGCTGGATCTTTTTTTTTTTAATGAAACAAGAAGACTGGTGTGTTGTTATGTTTTGGTTCTTATGTTTTTCATGTTATATTCATGTTTCATGAAGGATATTGATCTGCATCAGTGGCAAAGGTATTCAACAGTCTTTTCTTTCCTTTTCAGGAACCAGTTTGGTAATAAAATCAAAGCATGTGATCAACAGCTCGTACATTATCTTGGTGTGGACCCAGAGAGCAAGCACAGACAAAGAGCAGACACTGACTTCACACTTCTGATAGGTATGTAATATAGTCCTAAGTTGTGCTTTGATTGTTTCCCCCTTCTGTAGAGTAGGCTCCTCTCTCAAGGCAAGTGTCTCACCCAATTTCCTCAGGTTAGTGTCTGGTTAGTTGCATTTTCAGATACATTTAATCGCTATAGTTGTTCATATTAATGATCAGAGGAGTTCTGCCTGTGGGGTTCAGTTATCAAACTGTTCTTAAATTCCAACAGCCCTGAACTCAGTTAAAACTCAAAGCCAAGAAAAGGCCAGTATTTTACTGGTGCCGATTTCAGACATCTGATAGGTACGGAAAAAAACTCCCAGGTGTACTTTGTGTTTTACTCCTTTGCCTTTTACAATGATGATTTTCTGAACTCTTTTAATGGAGTTTATACTGGTGCCATGGAGGTGTGTTGTTAATGCTAACACTGAGCAAAGGCAAGGTTACTTCAGTAACCTGAGACCTTTTAAAGCTATCAAAGTAGCCTTCCTTCATGAAGGGCAAGGATCCCCTAGCCACAGGCCCTGGGTCAGGAGCTTCAGCGCCTTGTTCCTGAACATGGCCACTGTCGAGGCCACGCCCCCGAAGGCCTGGCAGCCATGGGCTCCTTGGTGGGCAAGCAACGCCTCAGAACACCACTACCTGTTGCTTCCACACCTACTCTGGTGGGGTGCCAGGCAGCCAGGTTCGCCCAGAATCCTCTGAGTGACCCAAACCTTCCCTTCCTCTCCTCACAGGTCTTCCTCAGTAGGATCCACTACTGACGCCATGCTCCAAAAGCTTCCACTTGATGGCACTCTTGAACCAGAAATGTCAACCACTCTCTGGAGCTGGGCCTCTCCCTCCACCCTTTGTGTATCAAAAAAGGCCCATGGTGGCCAAAGAACCTTCCAAACCCTCCAAACTATGTTAGCTCCAGTGGAGTGTTGGGGGAAGAGGGGTGTCCTCCTCTGGGGGCTTCTCCTTGGTGGTAATAACATACTGAAAAGGACATTCAGGGGAGCCCTCCATCGCTGGGTACATGTCCACAGCACTCTAGGATTTTCTGAGTCATGTGGCCAGGCCCCTCTTTCCTGGGAACCAGGATGTGATGTATTTTGTCAACTTTGTTATTATTGGCCAGGGTTAGGGCCAGAAGTACCTTGATGATTCACATACTAGGGATTGGTTGAAGACCCTTGCCACTTTGAATAAATCCAGGTTCCAGCCATGCATACAAAGTATTGCTCCTGTAATAATGGATCCTTTTGGAATATGAGTAAAGATTGGTCCCGAGAGACCATTCTTAAGTGACTCCATCTAGTTTTGGAACTTGTTTCTAGCTAGGTAACTGAATAAGAGTGCTAAACAAACCCCAAACCATCACGTGTCCCTTGTGCAAGGACACTCATCCTTCATCAGTTAGTTCAGTTCAGTTGCTCAGTCGTGTCCGACTCTTTGCGACCCCATGGACTGCAGCACGCCAGACTTCCCTGTTCATCATCAACTCCTGGAGCTTGCTCATACTCATGTCCATTGCGTCGGTGATGCTATCCAACCATCTCATCCTCTGTCATCCCCTTCTCCTCCTGCCTTCAAGCTTTCCCAGCATCAGGGTCTTTTCCAGTGAGTCTGTTCTTCACATCAGGTGGCCAAAATATTGGAGTTTCAGCTTCAGCATCAGTCCTTCCAATGAATATTCAGGACTGATTTCCTTTAGGATGGACTGGTT